GGTTTGAAACGTACTGCATCAATTTGCATATCATTTCGAATGTATCTATTAAAGAGGTATTGGTATTGCCATTGAATTATAATAATGTTAAGGTCCACTTGTACGATTCTCACATCAAAATTCAAAAAGGTGATTGTCGCACTTCACAGCAAAGTCAATTGCTTGACTCAATGTTTGAGGATCAGATAAGTTGAAAATTAATTTTTTTACCTAATATTGTAATCTATAGAAAAATTGGCTAATAAAAGCAGCATCATCCCACTTGATATCAGTTGCAAGTTGTCAAAATTGTGAAGCATACAATGTTACTAATCGATTGCCTTATCATAAAATACAGATCTTATTAGTTGCAATACGAATTACATCATATTCTCCATACATGGATCAAAACTCCATTAAAAAAGCCTCTAAATTATCCAATATTAGATCTTGTTATTCAAGAAAAGATAAAAACCACGATAGAGTTGAACCTAAAAGAAGTGTATCAATGAATCTAACTTGCGATCCTGGAGTTTGATAGCTTTGGGGTTGAAGTTCAATCACAATTTGCACTTGATTGATAAATCCTCTAAACTTTGATTTGGTGCCATCAAACTTCTCGGGTAGGGCAATTCTTGGTTCTCTAACATTGGAAGGGCATTCCACCATAGGAGAAGAAACATGATTTGGTGCAGATGTTGAAGCAATTCCAATCATTTTTATATCTTCACTTCCTGCTAATCTTGTTGTTCCTTGTGATGGTAAATTGAGTTGATGCAACGCAAGCATTAACTCCCTCAATTGCTCTTGCATTTGTGCCATTGCACTCTTTATTTTAGCAAGTTCTGCCATAATAACTTTTAGAAAAGAAAAGATGTCTAATATCACTCAAAAAAAATAGAAGAGAGGACTTTAGAACAAAGAAAATACTAAAGACAATATCAGTTTAGAAGAGGGTAATCCACAACTTCTAATATGCTTGTGTCTTATTTAGAAAAAGGAATAATCTATTCTTAATCAAGATTAGATAAAGCTCTGATATTGTAGGTGTACTCTTGTCAATTTGTCAAGAACAAGAACATGATAAAGACAAATAAACAAGTGAGACTTCTCTCATAGAAAGATAATAAAATAGAAATAATTTGATATATATATATGTATATATATATATATAAAGAAAGAAATTGGAATGGTTATTTCCAAAAGCCAAGAAAACTAGAGACCCTTGAAACTAGACTAGAAGCAAGAAAGGAGTTGACAAGAATGAAGAAGGCTTCATTCTTGTCTCTATATATACTATCTAATTAAGGGCTATGTGGCAACGTTCTATAGGACCTCCAATATGTGTTGACTTTATTAGAGACATGCCTTGACTTATAAGGCAAGTTTTTCTACATGTGGGCCACAGAGTTAGCTTTGTCTTCAAGCTAACAACATGTGTGGCACATGGCCAACTTATTGACAAAGTTTCTAATCCCAAAAAGTCAATTAAAGACACCTTTAAAGTCAAAGCAACGTCTATAAAGCTTCTAAGAAGCTTCCATATCAAATACTATAGAATTAACTTACTTTTACTTACTTTTATTTACTTCTACCTATTTATACATGTAATTATTGGCTTACATGCATATGTCCGTGACAATACATTATCTATCTAAATGCTATGTAATAACGTTCTATAGGGCTTCTAACATGTGTCTTAATATGTAAGGCAAGCTTTTTATATATATTCTAAATGGTTAGTTTGTATTACAAGCTACCAACATGAGTAATATATGGCTAACTTATTAATTAAGATTTCAACCTACCAATTATCTAGAGATATGTATAAAGATGAAACTACATTTGTTAAGCTTTTAGAAAGCTTTTCTATAAGATATTATTTTATTAGTCTACTTTAATCTGTTTCTATCTATTCATATTATCTAAGTAATTATTGGAATAAATATGTATGTCCATGAAAATACTTCATTAATTTTTTAATCTAATTAAAATACAAAAAAATATATACATATTTTGTATTAATTTTTAATCAAAGAATAAAAGATCTATTAATTTAATATTTTATTTAGATTATTTTATGTACATGAATTAATAGCTATTAATTAATTAATAAATTAATAGCTATTAATTTTTAATATTTATATTTAAGATTATAAAGTTGACATCTATGAATACTATTAAAAAAAAAAGAATCAATTATAATTTTAATTTTTTATTTATAGAAAGCTTATTTTAATTAATATAGTTTTATAGAAAATTTAACCATTTTAAATATAGAATCTTTATTTTTGAGGATTAGAGACATAGATTAAAAAACTATGAAAAATAAAAATATAATAAAATTTAGAATATATGACAAGTTTTAAATATATTCTATTATTTTTTTAAAGCTATTTACATCTATACATATATATATATATATATATATATATATATATATATATATATATATATATATATATATATATATATATATATATACATATATACATTTATTCAATTAGTTTAAAATTTTATTTTTGAAAATTTATAAAATTATATTATTATAACTACATATAAAAATATTCTCATAATAAAGTAGATATTAAAATAAAATTTAGAATTTTAAGTAGTTATTAATTTTAATATTTTGACTTTATTTTTTAAAAAAAACTTCAAACTCCAAAAGAGTAGTTTGAAAAATCAAATTTTAATATTTATAATTTTTTTCTTTTTTAACTTAAATTTTTATAAAAATAAGTATCATAAATATCTATATACTTTATTTTTATTACTAATTGATTTTTAATTTTTTTTTTTAATAAAGAAATTGATACCTAAAGAATTATTGATACTTATATCTAAATTGACATAAAATGGATACTATGACCTACTAATCATTTTATTCTATTTTTTAATTAAAAAACCAAAGTATATATTTATATAATGGAGACTCTACACAAGAAAGCCAACTTTACAAAGCAATTTTCTAAAAGTCTTATAAAGATCTTTTATTCATGTCCCTCCCTCCTTCCTCTTTTCTTCCCTTCTTACTATTGAAATTCCAATTATGATCTATTTTTTAATTTCTCTAAAAGATAACTTGAAAGAAACAACCTATTCTTGTACATGTTGTACTTTTCAATTGTTAGACTCTTATTATAAGCTTCAATTGTAGATATAAATATAGTAAATATTTTTTAATTCTCTATTTGGATAATTTTCCTTCTTTATGTGTTGTTCTTTCCAAACCATGTATCCTTCAACTTTTGTAAAGTCTTCTACTATCATATGAGTATCTTTGAAGGTTGTACAAGAGGCAAGAGGAGGAGCTTCCATTATCATTATATTGTGAAAATGTAGGATTTTTTTAAACAAGATCTTTTGATGAATATGCATGATTTTTTACTTTTATTAAAAATAAATGATAAACTCTTTTTTATTTTTTCTTATTTTTTTAGTATTAGTATTAATTTTTAAATTGGACTTTAATTTCTATCTACTTGAAAATTTGGCATATTAATAAGGATTATTAATATTTAGATTAATAAATATTTTACTTTAATTTAAAATATTTAAATTTAAAATCTAATATATCAAACCTCTAAAATAAAAAAATCTTTATTATATAATTTGTTATTTCTATCTTAAATATTTTTTATATTTTTTATATTTTATATTTTTATTTTATAATTTATATTTATTAAAATTGTGATAAATAAAAAAAATGATAGACAATCCTTAAAAAAATATTTAGTTCAACAACATTTCTTCTCAAGATAGGCTTAAATCCATTATTGTAAAAGTGTATAACTTTGACCAAATTATTTTAAAAAGTGATTATTTTATAAAGTTATAATATAAATTTAATTCTTTGTAGTATTTTTTTATAATTTTTTATAATAAAACATATTTTTAAATTAATATATTATTATATAAAAATAGGTACATTAAAATTAATTTATAGCAATATCTATATTTTACAATGATTTGAGAAGGTATTTTCTTTGATTCTTTTGCAACAAATATCATTACAAATCTCCAAGTCATCTATTCTACAAGAACTTTACAAGAACTTTGAATAGAATATTCATGGTTGAGAAGAAATGGAGAGAACAAACAATTCTTATTTTATTATGCAAAGTATTACCTAGCTATGATTTGGAATTTAGGAGTAGATGATAATGATTAGAGAAAGAAGTAGTTGCCAAAATAGTTGGATTGCAAGAGCTCTTGTATGATTTTCTCTGGTTGTGAAAATTAAGAGATATTTATGCAAAAAGGACATCTCTTACAAAAAGAATTGTAGTGGTTGTCTTGCCTATCCAAATTACAAAGATGTACAAGATCTTATACAAAGTGTATCTTATCTTTGGTGTTGAAGTAATTAATTAATTTTAATTTTAATATCTTCTATTAATATTATATGTGTATCCACCTAAATATGCACATACACATATAAATATATATATATATATATATATATACACATACACACACACACACACACACATATATATATATATATATACATATATGTAGATCTAATATTATTAATGCCACTACAATTTCAGCTATTTAATCACAATTTACCATCAACCATATGTTTCTACAAGTTTTGCTACTACTACTTCTACAACCTACCACCTACTTGTCATGTTTCTTTAGTTCTATTATTCGAAATAATTATTTTGTAAATATTTTTAATATGTATTTTTTTTCAAAATTTATTAAAAGTAGATTTGATACATAAATATAAACGGATAACTTCAAAAAATATACTTTTTAATCTAATATAGAGTGTGTGGATGTAAAAGGCATATGGTGGCAATAGCTAAGACTGGTGGCAATGACCACACCTATATTTATGTATATATATATATATATGTATATATACACACTTTGTATACATTTTAGATTAGTTTTAACTATTTTAGATTATACATTTTTAAGTCCATTGTAGATTGAAATGGAAATACAATATTCATGAAAACATAACATACATCATTTCTGCACTTGAGGCAAAAGCCTCAGTGGGGTTGTCCCAGGACTTCAAACTCAGTTTAGAAATTAAGTTAAATTGGGTTTCAAGGTCTGGTGGGCAACGAAGTCTCCTTGCAAAATACACAAAAATCAGATGCTTCACGTATGACTACTTTCACATTGCCGAGATTGAAGCATCTCAATGAGAAGAATAATTTTCCGTCACTTCCACTCCCATGAAGTGACAGATTCTAAAAACTTCGTGGACTCTATGGTTGGACTTCTATCAGTAGTATCAATCTACATACCTTCAATGACCTGTGCCACACTCGGCAACCTTGAACTGGAAGGGTCTAGTCCTACAAGTCTCGTTGGACTGGAAAGAATACAAACGCACATTCTCATGACAATCACGAGTCTTTCTGTAGAGGATCATCAAGGTGACAACCGAATTCATACGAGTTGGTTATGAATAACTCCTCCAACGGGATCACTGTCCGGGCCAAAGCATCCAGATATGCAGCGTCCAGTTCGAGGTTTCGGAGCCAAGCGACTTCTCCTCTAGCAATGGCGCTGCGCAAAAGAGTAACAGCTTCCTTCGCAGCATCGCTACACTGCCACAGTTTCCTATCTATCTGTTCAAATTCCTCGTGCAATTTCTGAATCTCTGCAAGCGTGGGCAAATTGGCCAGGGTATATTTGAAATCCGCTGATGTCTGCAAGAATTGCTGACGTTGATCTTGTACAAACTCGTCTTTTGAAAGGCGCCATGACCTTGAGGCCTTCTCTACTTGGGTGGGACAAACTAGCTTCTCGAGGAGGGTCTGCATATCCCAAGACGAGTTAATGATTTACGCCAGAAAAATCGGCGGAAACTAAATCGTTCATGAAAAGGAGACCGACAAGTACGATGAGCATTCTACACTGGCAAATCAAGAGCTCAAAACTCATTCCAACCTCTAATTCACACAGCGTAGAGGGAGCATACACTCATCATTCTTAGTGGCGACATTCTTACAGAGTTACTCATTAAGTACCTTGACACTTTTCAAAGACAATGGGAGCAAGTCGGGCTTGAATCCATTACCTCTAACCACTCAATGTCCCTCTCCGACGGCATTGCGTGTAGTTGATCCTCAGCATCATCAATCCAGGATTGAATTGCTTTCACTTCACGCTCGGCTGCATCGGATTTCATTACCATTGACTGAAGGCTCTTGGAAACCCTCTCCTCGCAAAACCGAGCCTCATTAGTTCTTGCGGATGACATGAATGCTGAAAGGAAATTGGCCATGCGGAGACCAAGCTCTCCCTCGCCATGTCTCCGGGGTCGCAGAGATGGAGTGAGTGCTTGACTAATTGCGGCTTCAGCGAGTTGTCTTCTGGTCTGAGTTTTCTCTCTCGAAGGTGGTGAGATTACTCTTGCAAAATTGAAGTCCCTTGACTGTCCGGTACCTGCTACTGCCTAATATAGAACATATTTCTTAGTTTGGAGACCGCAGCTGTCATGCGTGCCATAACAAGCGAGTTTTAACTAATCCTGCAAAAGTTTCTGCTAAAAGAATAAGGTACTGAAAACACCTTGACATCAAAACCAGAAGATTATACATTACCAGTCTCCACGAAGAGAGAAAAACCTGACAATTTTTAATGTGTCACTTTATTCGCTGCAAGCACATAGACTCTTAATCCCAGTGTCAATCCTTCAGTGCAAATTTGTCAATTTCATACTAGCACTTGTATCGTATAAAATAGGGTATGAAAAAGAGATGTAGAGGTCTCAAGAATAGTAGGTAATCGATGAGTTGGGTAGATATTAGTAGTCTCACCTTAATTCGAGATGCTGAGTCGGGCAGCCCAGAGGTTTCATCGTCCACAACCAGAGAACTCTCAGTCGAAATTGCTTCTCCTCGACTCTTTGATCCAATGTTGTGCTTGATAGGATTCCAGGACTGAATTTTTTCCCATGCTGCCAAAACCCTACTGGAGCCTGCTCGTTGCAATGTATGTTCAAGCACTGTTTGACAAGCTCTGCTGTCTGACGCGTTCATACAACCGTGTACATCTCCAAAAACTTGAAAGTATGACCAAGAGGATGAGGAAGAAAACCTAGTTCTTTTCGAAGGTAAAATCTCTTCAGTACGAAGACCGCACCTTACACATGGTAAGGAAGTCAGAGACTGCGTACGTTTATCGCATGGATTCGTCACGAACTTGACCGTCTGACCACAGCTGGAGAGGTTTCGGTGAAGAATTCGATCCATGGAACTAACCCTCCAACTCAATGAAGCTACTATAGCCGAAGTGTATTGCTATTGACAGCAGCCTCACGAGCCCGGTCCAAGGATTAATAGATATTTATCCCTTCTGTGGAAGCTGAGAGAACACCTCGATATACCAACACCAAAAACAGAAGTCTATCGATACATGCCATAGAGATTAATGACAGCACCATAGAGCAGCTAACAATGAATGTCATACCAATCGTGTAGTGATGGGAGACGTACAACCATGACTACGTATGTGAGCATGTTGTTGGTAGAATTTGACGATACAGGATTACATAAGTTCTACATTGCTTTACAGCAAACAGTTCACTGTTCCCGGCTGCCCCAGTTCACTCAGCCCGAAGAGAAAGAACAGAGAAAGTGATGCGCACGAAGCCTTCTACTCATTGCGAAGACTACCCACAAGAAGTTTTCAAATCTGGGCATCAAGCAAGGAGACCAAATAGATGAAGGTCAACTGCAATGACCAAGAAAGATGAAAATCGCGGTGGAAGAATTCACACTGCGGTGAAGTAATGCAAGTGTGATGAATATGTTGCGTCAAGATTGGCAGCCATGAAGTATGACCACACGCGGGGGAAATGGATGAGACCCACACCGACCAATCCAACCCGAAACAAGACGCAACGTAGATAACGAGGACGCCTTCTAGTCAACCGTCACTGATACTAAACCTTCCAGACGACCTTCCTGCATTGATTGAATTTCACTCCAAAACCTGGCCTCAGCTACCAACAATGCGGCAGTTTCAAGAGCAAACTGAGCACTCCCCTACCCAAATTCTGAAGCTACGAGAGGGCTGGCAAGTTGTCTTCGACAAACGTCAACAAAACATGTCACAGCACCCTAAAATCTCCCACCCATCTCTTCCGTCTCAAAATTCACACACCAAACCAAATGTCCACCAGGAGAACTCCGCTCATGTGCAGCCTCATCATGTCACCCACGCACAGAAAAACCTATAGCGCATAGGAACTGAATTCTACACGAGACTAAACAACCCCATTACTCATGACATGGCAATCCGAGAAATCTCCGCGTACGCACGGAGTGACAGCAAAAGATCCGAGTAACGGCGAGGGAAGCGAGGCAGGCACTACGGCAGCGAGCGACGACGCCGGATCATGATTCTAGTGTGCTCTGGAACCGTTGGAGCCACGGATTGGAGGACACCCCCACTCCATCAATGAAACGACCGTTGGGCCCGATCTGCCTACGTGGCCTCCAGCTCAGCCGGCTGGCGCGGCGGTCCTCCGCATGGCCTCCAGCTCATTTCTCCGTGGACCTTGCTTCCCTGCCGTCATCCTCTCTTCTCCCGTATCCGACGTGGACCAGGACGCCACGTCAGGCTTCTTATTTGCCTCCGCATGGCTGCCACGTAATCTGACAAGTGGAAGATCGTGAGGTTCTGTTGTTGGGACTTCTTGTAGGCTTTAAAATCTCTTCCATTAAATTGGAACTGATTTATGTATGCATTTCTGTGAATACAAAATATGCATAGGGAAGGTAATGTCAGAAACAATGAGTTCTAATTCTCTCTAAATCCTCTGTGGCTTTTGAGAATCTTTCAATTGTTTCAGTAAACTATGAGGATTTTTTCCTCAAAGTTTCTGCCCAACACAACTTTGTAGAAACTTTTATAAAATTCTCAAATTCTATTCATTGAAAAACACAATCTATTTTTCTTCTAAATCCTGTGTAACTTTTTGTTAAAATCTTGAACAATGAGGATTTATTATTGCAATTAGTTTGAAGAAGACTTGGGTCAAGCATATCCTCGATCATTTCAACTAGTTTTTTTTAATCATGGTTGATTTAGCAAATTACATCCTTCTTGTATTCTAGTATACACCTTCATTTGTCTTGTTATTTTTAACACATTATACATTGACTTCTATTTCATACTTCTACACTTTTATTTTTGTGTTTTGTTACAATATTAGTTGATTCGTGAGTTAAAAAAGAAAAAAAGTTTATAACAAATAAAATACAAAAAAAATATGATATGCTGTCACAAATATTTTTATGTTGATGTTCTATGTTGATGTGCCAAGCTAGAAATTTATTGTAGAGAATTTACTATGTCAATCTTAGCATTCAAAAACATAAAAGGTGAAGCGCTGTAGTCCATAACGACCAAAAAATACCAAAACATGGCAAGTTACACCTAAAGGATGCAAAACAACAGTTGATGGTTCAAATCCCAGTTGCAAAATCTGAAATATTCCTGATGGACCTTGACACAATGTTTAGAACAACCATTTATACGATAAAAAGTGAAGCATTGCAATGTTCAAAGACAAATCTGGGACAAAGGAAGAGCTGGCCAGGCTCACCCTCTTGGTGATCAGCCCTGGTTGCGTGATATTAGAAATGGGTGTTAAATGTAAGAATTCAATCATTTAATTGCGAGTCTGTTGTGGTTTGTGAGTATGCAGATCATGCTCAGCTAACAAGGATCATATGGTGCAGCTCTGGATCACACTACAGCACTGAAATGGCGTGATATATGTGGCAAAACAGAAGCAATCCTACTTGGGCTCTGAAGGTACTGTGGAAATTTCAACCATAACGTTGCATCAAATTCACTTCAATGTGCAGGACAACCAATGCATCGAACAACGGCGTCTGATTTGCGAAGTGCTCCCTGCGTTGTGATTGCAGCATTTCATGTTGCAGTGTTGCAAGAACGTCGACACGGTGGAGATGCTCAAGGAGGGGGCCGTACGAAAGATGTTGCCAGACACTGCCAGAAGTGCTTTTGATGTGGTCGCGGTAAGCCTGCATGCCCAGGCTGATACGTAGCATCTGATTTGAACTAAATCGACTGTATTGTGGAGATTTAGCGGGGAAGAGGATGGGGAGGAGAGCGGCGATGACTGGCGTGGGACGTATTAAAAATGGAGGGTGGGAAGAATGTGGGTGCCCTCAATCGACAGTATCCTTCGGCTCGTTCAAGCAGGATTTCTCGACAGTTCCGCATGTGTGCTTGGTCTCCAAAGACGAGAAGCACAAGCACTACGTTTTCGATCGCGAGGCTTACGAGAGAGCTTGTCAGGCTCCAGGGGATAGCCCACTCGGCCAGTGGGTTGCCACAAAGCTTGAACAGGCGCGGTTGTTCGTGGCCAGGCCACCTGAACAACCACCAAAACCGCCTGAGCCATGGCGGTTTGACGAGCAGTCAAGCTTTGCATTACCGTTGGAACGGGGATGGCGCCCATGGAAGCCGGAGAATGACGCATTTCACGTCGATAGTGAAACAAATTTTGAGATGTATGGCAGAATGCTAGATGACTTCTTTCACTTGCTGTGACTTGAAGGTAACATGAAGGAATTGATGTTTGAGAGCGGCGAGGCTTGGCTTGTAACATGCGGGGAGGTTAATCGAACGGTCACAGTCAGGTCGAGAACTTGTTTCAAGAACGACCGCTGTTTCGTCACCGCGAACAATGAGTTCCACGCTTGATTGACGCAAATGTCGAGAGTCGCTAACATGAGGGAGCCGATTGTGAAACTCCTGAAAAGTTGTGGTTTAGCGAATCGCGTGAAACACATGCGACGCCTGCTGGATATTCGCATGGACGCAAATGTCCGGCAAGGAGGTTGTGGCCATTGCTTCAACTTCGTTTAATAAACCCAATTCGCTCTCATTAACGACAAACATAACCTCTCTCTCTCTCTCTCTCTCTCTCTCTCGTTCATGTCCTCTTGTACAAACTATGCCTTCCATTAACAAGGAGCTACGCCATGTGGTGGTCCCGTTGCACTAAACTCTCACTCTACAAGCCTGTATATAAGCGGTGCTGATTGTGTTGCACGTCTTGTTCCACACCTCAACCTCTTCAGTCGAAACTTTCAACAATAATTGTTTCAGTAAACAACTCTTGAGTACTGTTCCATTACTTTCAGCATGATGCTAATCAGAGAGCTGGTAAATAAAACAGGCGAACGATTAGCTTATGGTTGACAACTGCGGTGATCTGATCACGGAGGTTGTCACCATAGCGATCAGATGGCTGAAGCAGCAAGTTGTGCGGCGCAGTTCTCAGCACATGGTCATGAGAGATAACTGATGCAAGTGCCACAGTACCTGGTCACTCCGTGACTACGTCCTCAACGCAAAAAAGACGTCGTTCGATGTGCCACTGCAGCAACGAGCTTTCCCTAGTTGTGTGTTTGTAGATGGTGGAGGTTCTGGGATGAACCCACGTCTGCTACAACGTCTCCACGATGGAGCTGCCTGCTGCTGTTGCTCAACCCTTCACGTCACAGCTCTCCACGATATAGCTCCATGCTGGGGCCCCACTTGCAAGGCGCGCTTCACTTTTCTGTCCTCAACTAATTTGATTTGATCCCATTTGTAAAGCTTTCTACATGGATGCAGCAAAAAACATCGCTTGAGGTTGGTTGTTTAATTTATTAAAAAAGGATGTAAAAAAATAATCATAATTACTAATAATAAAACTATTTCTCCTAAAAGTAATTTTTATAGTTCCAATACATTGTGGATTCAGCACATTGCCAAGGTATTCCAAAGAAATTCCCCAAAATGATCTAATGCCCAATCTGGTGGATTCCATTGGAATGTGATAGATGTCGCTGATGTGGAACCTTAAAAGCAGGAATGAAATCTCTAGAAAACAAGAAAAAAGTCCCCTGGCAAGAATGATGGAGGTACAATCAGCACTTTTCCACAAGGAAACTGAATTCTGAACTCAGACGAATCTATGCCCTCTCCAGAGCTCAGAGCCCGTTCTCTCTCCCTCCAAAAGAGCAGGGGCTCCACATCTTCTCCCCTCCATAACCAGCACCTGGAGGTTTACCCCTTCTGGTTCAAAATTCTAACTCCAAAAACTCATGCATGAAAACAAAACGGAGCCCACTGTAATTGTCCCACTCCCAAGTCAGTCTCCGCCTCGTGCGTTGCCCAAGTCCACCGTTGGTCAAATGAGGTTGATGTGAACGCCGCGATGGCGATGAGAAGCTGAGAAGACGACAATGGTGGCGAGGGAGCGACGGGGATGAGTGCATGGAAATAGGGGGGGAAGTGCCGGAAGTAGGTGGCGGAGGAGAGGAGAGGGCGGCCCCACCTTCCCAATCAGCGGAGGTCCCCCTTGGCGCTCTGGTCGGAAAGGTGCCGCCACGCTCCCCTGGCCACACGCGGCACGTTCCATTTCCGAGCTCCCCTGAGAAATAGACGCCGTTATTTCAGAAACTCTGTGCCGCTCCAAGCCCCCGCTTCCCGACTTCAAACTTTCCCTCCCTGGCCTGCAACTTGCGGGTCTCGTGTACATATGCTCGTCAGTCACAGCAGAGGAATTAAGCATCGTACCGCATTGCATCGGCGGGCATCGACATCCTTGCAGGTACCGCGGAGGGTGAATGCTGGAGCTCGAGGTGGCTTAGGTCGAAGGACTCGACAAACCCGGAACTGGTAAGATTGCAGTCATTGTGATGTCTAGGCAGTGATCTAGAGGTTCGGAATTTGCCGGTTGTGTAATTGTTGACTGGTTGTGTCTGTGATGTCTGTTAAGTTGGTGCATTTGTGGTGATACGCGCGGAACTGTCTGGCTCACGAGCCCCTTTGCCTTTGTTCAGGTACTACACCGTCGGTGTGATGGCCAAGCTAGCGCCGCTCATCGTGGTGTTCCTTCTCGTCTGCGTCCAGTGGCAGGGGGCTGTGTCTGGGACTGAGCTCAAGCCACTGAATGGGGGGAAGTCCCAACCCTATGACGTGGACAGCATTACGGGTGAAACCATCTATGATGACGAATCATCCTTTGCAAGCAGTGATCCTTACAACTACGCGGACAATGGCGGGGATAATTATCAGTTTAGTACCTCTGAGTCGGATGGATATTCAGCAGACCCCGGAACAGACGAACCCGTTGCTTTGCCGAATGGAGATGGCTTTGCCGTGAGCCAGGATGCTCCACTCTCCGGAGTCAACAGTACTACTGCTGACGGAAGCAGCTCTGTTGTCAGTGACGATGGCTTCGACATGGTGGAGAACGACGATGATAATTCTTCGACTGCTTCGTCCGATGACCAGAACATGGGCGCCGCTTTGGCCTCGGGTGGATGCTCAACGGGGAATCCGGTTGACGACTGCTGGAAATGTAATCCTAACTGGGCCAATGAGCGTCAGAAGTTGGCAACGTGCGCGGTTGGGTTCGGGAGGGGCGCCACGGGTGGCAGGAACGGCAGGATATACGTCGTCACATCTGCGAGCGATGATAACCCCGCGAATCCTGCTCCCGGGACGTTGCGGTACGCTGTGACTCGGTTGGAGCCGCTGTGGATCATATTCGCGTACAGCATGACCATCAGGTTGAAGAACGAGCTGATGATCACGAGCTTCAAGACGATCGACGGTCGTGGCGTGACTATACGCATCTCCGGAGGAGCCGGGTTGACATTGCAGCGCGTCAACAGCGTCATCATTCACGGTATTGCCATCCACGACATCCAAGCTACAGGGCCCGGGAGGATCATGACCTCGACTGCCCACACAGGCAACCGGGGCAGATGTGACGGCGACGCAATTTCGATCTTCTCGTCAAAGAACATCTGGATTGACCATGTCTACCTCGCCAGGGCTGCAGATGGACTGATTGATGTGATCAGGGGCTCGACGGACGTGACCATCACGAACTGCTACTTCACCCAGCACGACAAGGTACGACGAGTGCCGGAGTTCATTTACATGCAGTGTTGCAGGGCCTTTCTCAGCCATTCTGGCAATGCCGGGGCCCATAGAACTAGTCTGTTGAACTAACAATTGCTTTGATGTGTTGCAGGTGATGCTTCTCGGAGCTAGCATGAATGACGACATGGACAGGAACATGCGCGTGACTGTTGCATACAATATTTTCGGTCCTTCACTTGTGCAAAGAATGCCAAGGTGAGTCACAACGTAGAGGATTTTGTTGTTTGTGTTTGATGTCAGCAACAGAATAGATGAATGCACTTGGAACGGTCGAAAAGATTAGGATTTCTGACGCGGGAACTTGTGTGGTGTTGCAGGGTTCGGTACGGTAACGTGCACGTCGTGAACAATGACTACACCTCAGGGTGGGGGATTTACGCCATTGCCGGCAGCGAGGCTCCTACCATATTGAGCCAAGGTAACCTGTTTCATGCAGGACAGGGTTCGAAGCAGGTGACGAAGCGGATTAACGATGGAGGGCCAAGCTTCGGGGATCCTAGGGGCTGGAATTGGAAGTCGGAGGGTGACGTGTTCTATTCCGGGGCTTATTTTTCTAGCGTCCAGATGGGGTGGTCAGCCCAGAGTTATTCAAAGACCGCAAGCTGCTCACCTCGTCCGGCGTCAATGGTGTCAAGGATGGTCAAGACTGCTGGTCCGTTGAATTGTCGCAAAGGGTCTATGTGTTAGAGGATTACTGGACATAGCCGATGGTACGTCCAGAGCATTCTGTATAACATACTGAAAAGCTGAGGCTGCGCTTGTAATGCAGCCCACTTATGAACCAACTCCGAAGGAAATCGTGTTCAGATGCGTGTAGTTGTCCTTTAGTCTAGTAGGTGTAAGTTACTCTGAGATACGGAGAGGTTGCGCTGTTTGCAGCCCTCAAATGCCTGTGAGACGTGCTGTGGTTGATGTAGCAACCCACCGCCTATATTCATCTGCCGATTTTGGGATGAATTCCATTCTTTTGGGATTCATAGACTTGATATCCGCGCTACACATCTCGTAGTCGATGGGATGTGGGTTTACATGCGCTCAGCCAGTACTTGGCTTGGAGGTGAAAACATTTACAGCATTCGCCTACCACTGTACTATTCGGATTTCGAAATGATTAACATCCCCTTTTTCTATCTGATTTGGTCAATGGGCATGCGTGCATGACCGAGTTCAATTTTTTCACCAGTGCCACTGTTCTGCTTCTTTGTACCTCGCCACTTTCTAATTCTTTTCTTCTATTGAGCATCCTCTCCTTTTATTGTTACAAATCGATTGTTTTCGAATTGAGTAATCTTTGCTACTGCCAATCTTCGCTGAGGGGGGACTATATACTGGCATAGAGACATATTCCAACTGACTTCTGCAGTGCACCTGTTCCATGCTTTCATACAATACTGGACGATGATTTCTACATACTGTGTTGGTTTCTACATACTATGTGTACAAATCATCGTCCAGTATGTAGAAATCATCGTCCAGTATGTAGAAATTAACAGTTGGAAATCAATCTTGGATATTTTTTACAAGCTTGGATTATTATCCATTGTTTGATCAATTGAATTACAACCAACTCTATCATTGTCTTTTATATTAGCAAAGAATAGGATGCCCTTTAAGGTCCCTAGAAATATAACCTATTTCTATAGATTTCTAGAAAAATTACAAATTAGTGAGATGATATCAATTTTACTATTGAGTGATAGCATAAGTAATATTAAATTAGTAAAAATCTAATAATGCATAACAAAATCAAACATATAGAGCTAGAAGATTTCCATATTAGAGAAAAATTTGAAATTGAAAGTATCATACTAACTTACAATCCCACCAAGTATTAGTAAGCAGATGTATTTACTAAACATCTTTTTAGTTCTTAATTTATTCTTAATTAACTATTGATTGGATTAATAAAAATACCAATTTAGAATTTTATTTTGTAACAACTATAAATTATACATAACTAAATAGATAAAAATCAAAGATTCTATTTACTAAATTAACTTGTTCAAACCAAAGAATGCTTTATCTCTTGCA